CATATCGAGAGTACCCCATTCGTATCCTTGATCAGGCCGAGCATACCACTCGACGTCATAATATCAAGTTTCTCAAAGTTCAATGGTCGCACCATTCTGAGGATGAAGCAACTTGGGAAAGGGAGGATCGTCTTCGACTCGAGTATCCCGCCTTCTTTCCGGAGGAACCCAAATCTCGGGACGAGATTCTTTTGAGTGGGGGTGAGTTGTCACACCCTAGCTAGTTCATGCATTAGAGTGTTGCATCATGTCTATTCTTTCATCAGAATCCTGAAATGGGGATGACAGAACCCCCAGCCCCCTCTGAAACCAACTAGGGTTTACTAAAAACTTTTTCAATGAACCTGAAATGCCCTTCTAAAATGCCCATCATTTTTGTCTTGGTTCAGAACCTCTGCCAAAAGTGGTGCACATTTTCCTAGGTCATCTTAGTGTCTTTGAATTAAATCATAGATATTTGAATTTGGGCATTTAAAATTATATAAAATATTTCAAATGCTCAAATATCTCCAAACTAAAATGTTTCATGTTGGAAATAATCCAATTATGGACAAGGAGTAGTTTGGTGATTTTAGGAGTTGCCTAGGTATTTTTAATAATTCAACAAAGTTGCAGAGGAATTAAAAAACAGAAAACAGGAGAAATAACAAAAAACTTACCTGGCGCCCAGCACCCGGCCCACCTGCCGGCCCAGCCCAGCGCCGCGCCAGCGAGCTGCTTGCCGGCCAGGCAGGCAGACAGGTGCCCGACGGCGGCCGCGGCGTGCGGCACGCAGCTGGCCGTCGCCCTGCTTCACCTCCACGCCTCGTTGCTGGATGGATGAACTCCACGCCGAGCCGTGAACCCCCAGGACACCTCCATTCTTCCCCAACTCCTCTCTCTCGCGCTCCCCCGCCATGGCCGACGCCATCGCCGCCACCCCCTCGCCGTAGCCACGTCCGCCGTCAACCCCACGCCGTGCCACCGTGTCCAGGAGCTCCGCCACCCTCCTCTCCTTCGAGCAAGCCGAGCCCCGAGCGCTCGCAAGGCCCGAGCCCACCGCATCGACCTCGACCGAACCGCCGTCGCCGGAGATCCCCTTCAACGCCGACGTCGCTCCGGCCCGTCCCCGGCCGCACCAAGTGCTTCGTCGAACTCCCCGTGAGCTTAACCATCTTCCCCTCCCTTCTTTTCTTGCTCCCGAGCTGTGTAGTGCCCTCCCGAAGCTCAACCGCACCCACCGCCGCGGAGCTCGTCGCCGACGTGCTCCCGGTCACCCTCCAGCCACAACTTGGTGTCCATCATGCTCACCACGTCACATAGCACCTAACCAGCTACTCCCCGCACCTCACCGACCCCTCTAGCATCAAGTTCGCCCTCGGCCGAACTCCGGTGGCCGCCAAAGTCGTCGCCGGCGCCAACTCCGGCCACCCCGACCCCAACGGACTCCACCAAGAGCTGCGGCTCCTCCTTAGCTCCACTCCGATGGCCTCCGCGACTCGTTTGGTTGCTGGAACGGCCAAAACCACTTCCGCCGCCGCGTCGGGCTCGCCGGCGGCTAAATGCCGGTGCAGCCGACCTGGTTTTGACCGCGGGTGGGCCCTGGTTGACCCCGATGAGTCAATGATAGGTGGGGCCCAGCCCTGTTAACTAAATAGGGTTAGTTTTAATTAACTTTAAACTAAACTAATTACCCTGACACCCTGGACCCACAGTCAGGTTTGACCTGGGCGTCTCCGTTGACCCTGACGTCATTCTGACGCATGGCTGACGCAATAAATTAATTTCTGGATTTATTCTAATATAGGAAATTCCAGAATATAGTTTAAACTTTAAAAATTCATAACTTTTAATCTGTAACTCCAAATCAGACAAGTTATATATGAAAAATGATCAGAAAAATCCAATCTATCCATCTGTACTGTTTTCATGCATGATTAAACAAGTTAACTTGCTGTTTTATGCAGAACAAGATAAAACACCTTAAGGGGCCATGTATGAGTTTGAAATTTGAATCTTTGGGTCAAATTGGTTCAAACCCTTTGGGTCTTAGTTGCATTAGCCCAACACACTCATATTGCCATGTTTCATGCATGCATCATATTGTCGCACATTGTTTGGTGATGGCTGTGTATCAGTGTTCTTTGCGGCAGGTTCTGCCTCCGAGGAGTACGTGATTACCCTAACGAAGAACCATATCAGTGCATCGAACCATCAGGCAAGCAACCAACCATTTGATCATATCGATACAATCCCATGTTCTCCCTCCTGCTCTCATTTACTGCATTAAGACAATGCGTTTCAAACTGCTGTGTGCTACGGTAGTTGAACCCATTTCCTCTGCATGACCTGTCATTGCCATAGTAACTAGATGAAACCCACTAGCATGTGTAGGAGTTGTTTGAGCCATATGTATGTGTTGTTCCTACCTTGCTATGCCTGCTATGCTTAGAGTCGTGTCAGGTCTGGTTCATCTGGGTGATGGGCTAGAGTGAAATGATCATGTCGGTAGTGAGGGTGGTGTGGTGAACACGATTTGGTAAAGGTATCGATGAGAGGCCATGTAGGAGTACATGGCGGGTTGTTTCATTGAAGCCGACCTTAAGCACTGAGATTTGTATGTGTGATTTAAGAATCAGCTACTACCATACATTGGGCCCGAAACCAATGGACCCTCTCGGCTTCTTATTCACCCTAGTTCTCTATCCAGGAGTTGCAAGTAGTTTCTGGTGTTTGTAGCCTACTGGAGGCCGTGGACAGCGCTGACCGTAGGGGTGGGCTGTGATGCGGTAGGTACGTGGCACGGTGTACCGACTACCCGTTAGGTATCTCGGGAACCCTGTACACATCGTTCGGGGCCGTATGGGAAACCTCGGCCGGACTCCCTACGGATGGAACCTGGATAGGCGATAAACCTGGATTAGAGACTTAGGTGATTAGGTAGGTCGTGGCCGACACCCACGTTGGGCTTCCGCTTGAAGGTTGCCGAGTACATGTCGTGTAAACGACGGTAAGTGGTGAGAGCGTGTATGAAGAAGTACACCCCTGCAGGGTTAACATGATCTATTCGAATAGCCGCGTCCGCGGTAAAGGACTACTTGGTTGCCTATACAGTTCATAGACAAGTAAATGGAAACTACTAAAAGCTTCAAGATAAGTGTGAGTGCCGAGGATGGCTTTTCCGTAGGAAGACGGAGGTGGATCCTCGGTAGTGTATTGAAGTGGTGAGTAGTGGACTCGTGTGCGCAAAACCATTTCAAGTTGGAGTCTCGTAGGATAGCCTAGCCAAGAGTCAAAGCTAGCTTGCTGCAATAACTCCACCAACCCTTCTTGATAATGTGCATGTATGTAGGATCTGATGTAAGTCTTGCTGAGTACCTTTGTACTCATGTTGCTATAATTTACATTTTTACAGAAGACGCTGCAACCCCTTCTGATGGGTTCTTCGTAGACGTTGACATCAATGAGTAGGCTAAGGCCCAGGTGGTGATCCTAAGCTTGTGAAGGACCACGCAGTATAGCTAGGCTTTCCAAGCCTCTTTTATTTTACTAGTTGTCTGTACTCAGACAAGTTACTTCCGCTGCTGGGTTGTATGACTGTATGACTTGAGTGCTGGGTCATGTGACCCGTACTTGTGTGTATGTTATGTATGGCTCTCTGAGCCTTAAATAAAGTACTTGTGTCGTAGAGTCATGTTGTGATGCCTTGTTGTATTTGCACATATCGAGCATATTGTGTGTATGTTTGAAATGCTTGGTATGTGTGGGATCTGACTATCTAGTTGTTTATCTTTAGTAGCCTCTCTTACCGGGAAATGTCTCCTAGTGTTACCACTGAGCCATGGCAGCTTGCTACTGCTCTGGGACACTTAGGCTGGCCGGCATGTGTCCTTCTTCGTTCCTGTGTCTGTCCTTTCGGGGAAATGTCACGCATTGAGTACCGGAGTCCTGTTAGCCCGCTACAGCCCGGTTTACCGGAGTCCTGCTAGCCCAGTGCTACAGCCCGGACCCACTTGCTGATGACCGACACGTTCGATGCTGGGTCATGGATGCCTGTCCCTGTAAGTCTGTGCCACTTTGGGTTTACGACTAGTCATGTCAGCCCGGGTTCCTTATCATACGGATGCTAGCGACACTATCATATACGTGAGCCAAAAGGCGCAAACGGTCCCGGGCAAAGGTAAGGCGACACCCATGGGGATACCGTGCGTGAGGCCGCAAAGTGATATGAGGTGTTACAGGCTAGATCGATGTGACATTGAGTCGGGGTCCTGACACACCTAAACACGGCCGCCGGCCTCCACTACCACCGCCAACCACCACATCAACCAGACCTGGGCCGGGGCCAGATCCGCCACCAGCACGATCCAGGGCGCCGGATCCCCACGGGCTACGTCGGAGAGGAAGGAGGCAGCGCCGCCGACCACTAGAACACCAGGGGAGGGGAAGGAGCTGAGGCAGGGCCGGCCCGCCGGCCGCCACCACCGAGCAGAGAAGGGACGCCCTGCGACGACCCCCCATCTGCGCGCGGGAGGGAGCAGCCCCGCCGCCGCCAGCGCCACGCGGCCTTAGGCCGGCGACGCCCCCGGCGGCGGCGAGGGAGGAGGGCGGGGCGAGGGGGGCGAGGGGAGGCGACGCTAGGGTTCCTCCCGGGGAGCCTCGGGGATTCCCTGTAGGATCTTGATCTTCGTCGTAACTGGTAATATATGGGACAAGGATATGTATATGCGTAAAACATTTTGATTTCTTTTGACATTATTAGGTTTTTTTGTTCATGTGAAGCATATGCTCTTGGGTGCCGTTTTGAATTGAATTACATAATAAAAGAGAAAACAGAAATAACACTATTTCCCGTATGTAGAATGAAAGCAAAACAAACATTATAGACCAATATATTGGACTCTACTCATACAATTCAAGTTTAATTACAATGGTGCGCAATACTGCAACCTGCAACTTACAGATCCTTACCCACACCTAAGCAGTTGCTACTGATTTCCCTTTGCTTCATAAACCAATGGTCACTCCATTTGCTTCATAAACTCGGTGAATGCAGTGTAGGAGGAGCCACCTTCCTTCCATACTGCGTGAGCGCTCTTCTTTACCGCCATGATCGGCTCCTCGAGTGCTCGCAGTCTCTCCGGCTCCATGTCCATGATCTGCCTAACCGCCGCGTCAACATCGTCGGCCCTGACAAGCCCCCCGCGCTTATACCCTCTCACCTCCACGCCAACCTTCATATCTTCGACAATGTACACCTTGTTCATCCACTGCTCGGCTACCAACGGCCAGCACACCATTGGCACACCGGCGACCACCGCCTCCAGCGTCGAGTTCCATCCGCAGTGGGTTACGAACGCACCAGTGGATGAGTGACGCAGCACCTCCACCTGTGGCACCCAGGACGCAGTCACCACGAAGCCCCTGTCCGCGGTCCCGGCCAAGAACCCCTCCGGGAGAAGGGACAGCGCCGCGTCCGGTCCGCCGGCGGCTGCAGCGAAGGCAGGAGGCGCGCGCAGCACCCACAAGAACCTGTGCCCGGACTTCTCGAGCCCCTTGGCCATCTCACTGATCTGCTCGAGCGACACCGTGCATCGGCTGCCGAAGCAGAGGAACACGACGCTGCGCTCGGGCTGCGCGTCCAGCCACGGGAGGCATGGGTGTCTTTCCTCCTCCTCTGCCCCCTCCGCGATCAACGGCCCGACGCAGTAGACCGGCGGCGTGGCGCGGTCGGGGAGGCAGCGCCCGTTTCTAAGCGCCGCCACCGCTGAGCCCTCCAGCGCGTCGAAGGTGTTCACAAGAATGCCGCTCGCAGCCGCGACCCGACCGAATACGTCCAGCACAGTCGCGTACAGGTCCGTTCCGCTGTCGAGCACCGCGTCGACCAAGTGAGACGCCGGCATCGGGGGCATGCCGGGGAACGACACGGGCGTATCGCCGAGATCTTTCAAGTTTCCGGCGTGCCGGGAGCAAAACAAAGGCAATTGGAGGAAGATGGAGAGGCTGGCGGCGCCTGTGGAGAAGAACAGGTGCCCCGGGATACCCAGCTCCGCGGCTACGCCGATGTCACAGACGGCGAGCATGTCGGCCACGAGCGCGTGGACATCGGGGAGGCTACGGAGGAAGTCCCGCAGGACAGGTGCCTGGGAGCGGGAGGCCGCCTGCATGCGTATGAACGGGTGGGCGGCAGCGGAGGCGGCGTCGAGGCTGGGAGGGGGAGGGAGGGAGTGGACGGAGAGGGAGGGGAGCCGGGAGGCGTACCGGCAGATGGTGGAGCGGAAGGCCGGGGCGGTGAGGGATGGGCCCGGGACGGCGACGGTCACCGCGAGGCCGCGACGGAGGCACATCGCGGCGAACTCCAGCATGGAGATGAGGTGGCTTAGGCTCTGGCCGGCGACGACGACCACCCTTCTTGGCGTTGACATTGGAGTGTTCTGATTCAGCTTTGCTTGGTGGCCTGGCCTGTGAACTTTGGAGTTGAGATTTGCACACTCGAGGAGAGAAACGAGTGGTCCGTGTCACTTGTATCGTCTTTTTACTTGTATTTTCTTTTTCATGATATATAATACGTGTGTCTCATTCATATTTCCACCACCTTAAAATAAATAATGTGATTGATTTATAAGCCGAAAACCAAAAAAAATTCTGCTGATGTCATCTATTCATACGTGACAAAATGAGTGATGATGGAGACGTGTGGGCGATGTGCAAACGCACACACGTGTGGCAGGAAGGGAGACGCACCACACGTCTTTAATGTAAACAGATTGCCACGTCATCGCATGCATGCATGTAGGAATTTTTTTGGATTTTCAGTTTTTAAAATGTTTTATCTCTTAAACAAAAAATCCGATTGAAAATCCGTTTTCACCATTAAATCCCTCGCGATGAGATCTTTGAAACTAGATCCCATGTTGATATGTTTTGATGAAAAAAAAATTTAGATTAAAAGTTGCCATGTCTATTGCATATGAATTGCCATGATGTTTACACTGAAGTTGCCATGATATGTTTCAGCTATTTTCTTCTACATTTAAAAGTAAATTTTGACATTTATAAAATGGGGAATTAAGAAAATAGACTTGCCATGAACCATAAACTAAAATTTTCATGATACATGCACGTAAAATTGCCATGGTTCATACAAAAAATAATTTTCATGGTCAAAGTACTGGAGTTGCCATCATCAAAATACTAAAATTGCCATGATCTACAAACTAAAATTGCCACATGGCAACTTTAGTTTAAGCCCTATGGCAACTGCAGCGTAAACATCGTGGCAACTTCTGGCAAAAAAAATTCGTCGAAACATATCAACATGGGGTCTAGTTTTGAAGATCTCGTCGAGACGGATTTAATGGTGAAAACGGATTTTTAGTTCGCTTTTTTATTTAGGAGATACAACATTTTTAAGCCGAAAACCAAAAAAAATTCTGCTGATGTCATCTATTCATACGTGGCAAAATAAGTGGTGATGGAGGCATGTGAGCGATGTGCAAACGCCCACACGTGTGGGCGTTAACATTTCCGTTGATTTAATACAACTTGGTACTAAATCACCCACACTTATTTTAGGGCGAGGGAGTATATCATAAGGATTTATAATAAAAAATCAAAAAAGACAACATAACACGTCTTTGCATAAGAAAAACACCAACCAAGAAAACAATCACAATCAAAACTGAATAATTTCTTGAGCTTGACACCATTGTCAGTCACCTGCCTTTGATGTCACTATAACAGCCACAAAAAAAATGAATCACCTCGAGCTCGACGCGGCTCAGTCGCTGATATGCAGCTTTGCGGACCTTGAAGATGGCTCATCAAAGGCGGAGCCATTACGTTGAATGAATCAGACCGGGGCAACACCTCAGACACGTCGTCGAACTCCAAATCTGGCACCCCAGCAAGACTAAGACATCGGAGGAGGAAATCATACCTACCAACCATGAACCACAAGCCCAGCGCATGATCCACCATCTTCTAAATGCCACCAATGCAGACAACAATCTACATCCGCTCCTGGACTACCTCCCAAGCTCCATGTCGGCGCTAGAGCAAACGGCATCGCATCAGGAGGGGGGGACCACGAGGATGCTGTCGTCGCCACCCTATCCTAACTTGGACAAACTGGTTTCCAAATCCATCCGCAACCATAGGACCGATCGCCTCAGTGGGAAGGATCTGAAGCTTCTTTATTCATTGCCTCCATCGCCGCCTCCCAAGCAAGACGTTGGACGACCCAAAAAACACTAAGCTACTACGGCATAACCTAAAGCTACATGATCCACACTAATACGTCCATTTTGCATCATGCTTTTATATTGATATTTATTGCATTATGGGCTGCTATTACACATTATATCACAATACTTATGCATATTCTCTCCTATTTTATAAGGTTTACATGAAGAGGGAGAATGCCAGCAGCTGGAATTCTGGACTAGAAAAGGAGCAAATATTAGAGACCTATTCTGCACAACTCCAAAAGTCTTGAAACTTCACGTAGCTTATTTTTGGAATATATAAAAAATATTGGAAGAAGAAAGTACCAGAGGGGGGCCACCAGCCAGCCACAAGGGTGGAGGACGCGCCCTACCCCCTGGGCGCGCCCCTCGACCTTGTGGGCCCCCTGGCAGGCCTCCGATGCCCATCTTTGGCTATATGGTGTGTTTTGCCCTAGAAAAAATCAGAGGGAAGCTTCCGGGACGAAGTGCCGCCGTCTCGAGACGGAACCTGGGCAGAACCAATCTAGAGCTCCGGCGGAGCTGTTCTGCCGTGGAAACATTCCTCCGGGAGGGGGAAATCGTCGCCATCGTCATCACCATCGATCCTCTCATCAAGATGGGGTCAATCTCCATCAACATTTTCACCAGCACCATCTCCTCTCAATCCTAGTTCATCTCTTGTATTCGATCTTGGTCCCAAAACCTCAGATTGGTACATGTGGGTTGTTAGTAGTGTTGATTACTCCTTGTAGTTGATGCTAGTTGGTTTATCCAGTGGAAGATTATATTTTCAGATCCTTAATGATAATTAATACTCCTCTGATCTTGATTATGAATATGCTTTGTGAGTAGTTACGTTTGTTCCTGAGGACATGGGAGAAGTCTTGTTATAAGTAATCATGTGAATTTGGTATCCGTTCGATATTTTGATGAGATGTATGTTGTCTCTCCTCTAGTAGTGTTATGTGAACGTCGACTACATGACACTTCACCATTATTTGGGCCTAGGGGTTGGCATTGAGAAGTAATAAGTAGATGATGATTTGCTAAAGTGACACAAGCTTAAACCCTAGTTTATGTGTTGCTTCGTAAGGGGCTGATTTGGATCCATATGTTTCATGCTATGGTTAGGTTTACCTTAATTCTTCTTTCGTAGTTGCGGATGCTTGCGAGAGGGGTTAATCATAAGTGGGAGGCTTGTCCAAGAAAGGGCAACACCCAAGCACTGGTACACCCACATACCAAATTATCAAAGTAACGAACGCGAATCATATGAGCATGATGAAAACTAACTTGACAGTAGTTCCCATGTGTCCTCGGAAGCGCTTTGCTTTATATAAGAGTTCATCCTGGCTTGTCCTTTGCTACAAAAAGGATTGGGCCAACTTGCTGCATCTTAATTACTTTATTTACTTGTTACCGTATGAATTATCTTATCACGAATCTATTTGTTATCGATAATTTTAGTACTTGCAGACAATACCTTGCTGAAAACTGCTTATCACTTTGTTCTGCTCCTCATTGGGTTTGACATTCTTACGTATCAAAAGGACTCACTACAAAAAAATACACTTCCGCGATGATACGTGTTTGTCACAGTAGGTCACGTTTTCTGTCATGCATGTACATCCATGACAATTTTATGACAGAATCAAGATAGTCATACATGTGTTGTCGTAGAAGTGTTCCATGACATTACCAAAATTATCATCACAGAAGTGTCCACTTCCATGATGAAAAATCGCGCGTCACAGAAGTGCTTTCGTCAAGGGTGACCGACACGTGGCATCCACCATAACGGAACACCGCTAAGCTATCAGGTCCGGTTTTCGATCCGATAACCCGTTAACAGCCCGGACCAATGGCGATTTTCCACGTGTAAAATCATCATTGGCTGGAGGAAACACTTGTCAGCTCCCCGTTGGCACATGTGTCACTCATCCAATGGGCGAGATGCGCTTATGAAATGTTGATACGTGGACCGGCCCAAAAGTGGCCCATAAAGTTTAAATGGGCCGGCCCAACTAAAGGCCCACAAGATTTTGCGGTCCATAATGGGCCGGCCCAGCAAAAGGCCCATGAGATTTTGCGGACCATAATGGGCCGGCCCAGCTAAAGGCCCACAAGATTTTGCGGGCCATAATGGGCCGACCCAGCTAAAGGCCCGCAAGATTTTGCGGACCATAATGGGCCAGCCCAGCTAAAGGCCCACAAGATTTTGCGGACCATAATGGACTGGCCCAGCTAAAGGCCCACGAGATTTGGCCGACCATAATGGGTCGGCCCAGCTGAAGGCCCAAAAGATTTTGATGACACTAGTAGGACGACCCATTAACAGGCTGCCATGTTTTGGGCCAAATGCCGGCCCATATTTGATCCGGTCCATTAACAGTCTGCCACGTTCCGGGCCTAATAAAGGCCCATATGAGATCTGGCCCGTTAAAAGCCTACCACGTTCTGGGCCAAATTACGGTCCAGATCAGGTCCGACCCTTTGAGAGGCTTTGGACTAAATTATGGCCCATATCAGATTCGGCCCGTCAACTGGATGCTATACTTTTGGGCCCACTTGATAAAGGCCCATTTAGTAATTCGGCCTGATATTAGTTTCGGCCTGTTAAAGGCCCGTTTAACATTTCGGCCCTATATACATTTCGGCCTGTTAAAAGCCCGTCATATAGTTGGGCCTAACTACGGCCCCGTTTGCATTCGGCCTGCTCACAGACGATAATATGATTGGGCCAAATAAGGACCGAGACAATTTTGACTTGTTATAAGCCCATGATTTGATTGGCACAATCATGGGCCGGGGTCTATTTCTGCCTGCTGCCAGCCCGTGAGCTGTTCGGCACTTTCCATGCCCAACCTACTTTTCAGCCTCCTAAAAGCCCATTGAGTTTTCTTGGGAAAATAGGGCCGGCGGTTTACTTGGCCTATTAAAGGCCCGAATCTACTAGTGGGCCAGTTTACATTTAGGCATGTTAACGGACCAAGATGACGAGGCCCATGATGCGGATCATACATAGTGATTTGCATGACGGCCCGATTATGTACCTTAATTTTACGGCTTGGTCAGTTTATTGCGAAGACAGGATATATATACAGTAAAATAACTGCAGCATCGTGAATAAGGAAAAAAACCTAGACTATACAATAAAGAAATTACGACATATTACATCTACTGGGCATCAAAGTTCG